ATATTATTATTATTATTATTATCGTCGCCGTATATTTACCCAAACGTTCGGTTATTTATTATTTATTAATATTTTTGATAATTATATGATCCATGATACCATATTCGGAATAATTCCCATCTATGAAAATCTAATTTGGATGGTAACTAGATAGCAATTTTTTAAATCACAACTATATTTTTCTGGATTCTTCTGATAATCTAAGACACAAATGGATAATATTTATTTTTAACATGTGGATCATCTACAACAAGTGGAACAATTAATGGATTTTTAATTGTTTTATTATGATATTCTGATATTTAATTTATATATAAGAAGGAAAAGGTCGGAATCATTGATAATTTTATATTATCAGGGATTTAGTGCGCCAGGAATAGCATCGATTGAGTTAAATGGCCCTATATTATCATTATTATTATTATTAATAGTAATACAAAGTATCGATTACCCATCCTGTTATCTTATTATTATTATTCGCCTGTGTCACCCCTTTTCAAGTATGCATTTAGATCTTCACATTCTTTATATTCAGGTCCTGTCCAAAATCGTTTGGCAGGTCGAGTTATTGCAACCATTAAATAACACTTATAATAGGTTGACGGCGGGAAAAAAAAATTCAAATAATAAAGCTTCCTAAATTCAAAAAAAATGGGTTTCCGAATCATACCTCGAATTATGCCCAAATTATACCCGAATTATACCTCAAATTTCCCAATTCTGAATCTTGGTAGATTTGCAAGATCAGAATTTGTGTTTTATCAATTTTTTTTAACCATTCGCCACGGACTACAGTACGCCTCCTACTGCTTCTGAACAAAATCCGACAACAGCACCCTGCAGCGGCATCCTGCAATGGCACCAACATACCAACTCTAAAGCGCACAGACCACTTTAATTGCAGTACCTGGAAGCAGCACTCTGCAGTGGCACGCACCCTGCAGCGTGCAGCAGCACCCTTCACTAGCACCCTTGCAGCACGAGTTGGGTACAGTACATACCCCCCTCCTTGCAGCACCCTGAAGTATCACCCCTTGCAGTAACACCAATAGGCTAGCTCGACAGCACCCTCAAGCAGTACCTTCCACCCGCGTCCGCTCACCAGCATGCCCGCTCCAAAGCATGGTTTAAAGCACACACCAATCTGAGAGTAACATCTTCAAACATCACCCTCAGGCAGCACCTGCAGCAGTACCCTAAGCGCCACCAGCATCACTCCAAATTATACACACCATTTTGACAACAAGCAACACCCTACACCAGCACCTTGTAGCGGCACTCCAACGGTACCACGATGCCCGCTCCAAAGCGCGCACACCACTCTGACAGCAATACGCACAGCGTCAACAACATACCAGATCACATATGGTATAATTACGAACAATTAAAATGTTTTCGGGATAAGTCTGGGTAAATAACCATATACGGAGATTACAAAAAAACACTAAATCAGGCTCCGTAAATCATACATACCCACGAATCATATTTACGAATCATACCCCAAATCATACCCTAGTCAAATTTCCCGAATTAGACACAATATTTTAAGATATACCCATATTAAATTATATTTCGATAAATTTATATATTTTAAAATTATATTTTAATATATAATAAAATATTAAAATTTAATTATACCAAATATTTATTTATATAAATTAATAATAAAAAATAAAAATTAATAATATTAAAATATTAATAAAATATTAATTCAATATATATATTTAAATTTAAAAATAAAAAATAATATATTTCTAATTTTCCTATGTTAATAAAAATTATTTAATAATTAATATTAAAAATTCATTATTTTTTATAAAATATCATAAATTAATAATTTATATTTATTTAAATTATATTATGTAATTTATAAATTAATATAATTATATATTATTTTTAAATAAATTATAATATATTATTATTATTATTAATTCGATTATAATTTAAATATTTTTTTATTTAATTAAATATTAATATAAAATATAATATAAAATTTTATTTAATATAAATTTATAATAATAATAAATTTAAAATTGTTCAAATTAAAAAAATAATAAATTAAAAAAATCCGAATTAATTATTTTATAAATCATAATATATTATTTCCTAAATTTATATATAAATTGTTATATCCTAATATCGGCAAAAAAAAAATAATAAATCCCAAAATATAACCTCTATATTCCCAAAATCTAATTGTAGAAATTTATAGTTTAATTTAGATAATATCCCACCAAATATGTAGGATATCGATAAAAAATATATATAATTATTTAAATCAAGATATAGATTTCTATATATTAGATTCGAATAATCCCCATAATAATATTTATATATTTTGTTATTGACAAATCTTCTGGCATTCTATAACATATTTTCTGGCATTTTATCTGGCATATCTTTTGGTATTCTACCTGGCATATCTTCTGGCATATGTTCTGATATCTTCTGGCATTCTATCTGGCATATCTTCTGGCATATCTTCTGACATCCTATCTGGCATTCTATTCTACCTGGCAAATCTTCTGACATTCTATCTGGCAAACATTCTGGCACTTTATCTGGCATACCTTACTAGTAGGTGGTAGAGGATTTGCGGCGCTCTGTAATGCAGCCGAAACATTCTCTTGTAAGGATAATGAGACCATAACTCTCCACGAGACAAATGTGTATATGGCTGTCTGCATAGGTTTGTGCGCGACCACCAGATGCCACCCCTGCACCCAGACACCGCGTTTATGTGGGTCCCAAAGTTATGTCCAAAATCGAATATTCATGCGGACAGCACATCCGGATTAGTTCTTGCTGTTGTTTCAAGCATTTCATGGAAAATATCGCAAGCCCTGCGCGAGCCTTGTACAACATAATATGTTTCATACCTCTGAACAGCAGAACCGCGAGGGGATACCGTTTCCGCACGACTTCACACAAGCACGCACGACTTTACCCAAGCACCCAGTATCAGATTTCAAGCCAATGTAATTTGAAATAGTAATTCCAATTCAAATAATTTGAAGTTTAACCAAAAAATATTAAAATAGATGCTGCTTAAATATGTTTAAATATTCTGATTCACCTTTTTGTGGGCATGGCTAGGTTGGAACAGTCCAGCTAGATTCCTGAGTAGCCCGGTTGAAGTAGTAGAGCTTTCCGCTGGCCGGGTCGGTCGTCATCTCCCAGCCCGCTGGCAAACCGAATGGGGCTGCTGCAGCTCCAGGCGCGACCATTTGCAATCTTGTTGCCAGCCCTGCACCAGCATTGGCTTAAAGCGCGACAAGGGAATTTGAAGTGTGAAGACATCGTGAAATTGGCAAAAATTGATTCAATGTTCAATACAAAACAGCGGCCTGGCGCTGACAGCATCTGGGTATTGGCTAGGCCAGGCAGCAGTGTTGGCGGCACTGCCAATGCAGGAGCGGGCAGCACCGCCACGGCGCCTCCATCGAAACAACCAGAAGGCCGCAGAAAGAATTTGGAAACTTTGGGAGCTAAGCTGGGAAGCAAAGAACCCAAGGATAGTTTGTAACAAAGAAGCATTTGGACTACATGGGAATTATACTTGGTCTGTATTCCCTGCATCACTGTGTGGGGTCCTCGTTTTTCGCGCTGCACTTCCGCGTCCTTTGCTCCTCCTCCCGCCGTGCTCCCACCGTAATTATTTCTTCTTGTCTTCCCATCTGTGCCAACTTCACTCTTCAGCCAGATCTCTCTCTACCAACTTATATGTCGTCTCTCTTAATCCAAATCTCTCTCTCTCTCTCTTGCTCTCTGCCAGTACCACCCGCGCGAGGCAGGGCGGAAGTTTCATAAAAGGGAAGCGACTATAGCGAAAAATGTACGGTGCCAGGAAAAAGCAATTTCATGTCGTCAACTCCAACTTGACTGACACAAAGTGATGCGCCATGGGGGAACATGATGAAACAGCATGAGAGAAGGCATGCAGAGAATGAACACGTATGAATGAACGAAAGATTGAATTGAGTTGAATTGAACTGAACCAAATTGAATTGGACTGGCTTGAACCGAATTGCATCGAATTGGATTGACTTGAATTGAAATGAACTGAGTTGAACCGAGGGAATGAAGGAATTGATGCATGAATGAATGTCCATTCCACTGAAATGAATTGAATCCAACATACATAACTGAATTTATTTTAGTTTTAATGCAAAGGGGACAGCCACCTCATTTAAGAAAACATGATACCTGCTACACAGACTGCTCGTGACCATGGCCGCCAAGAGCACAGACCCGCCAAACGCACCCATATTCTAAAGACAGCATGTTGCGCGCACTACCACTGCAACAAACTAATCATAACAACCTTGCTGCAGCCATTCCGCTGCGATCTACAGCCACCCAATACCAAAGACCACAGAACTGCACATGCAGCAACCATGCCCACAGCTGCTGCGCCACCAGCCCACCGCGATCTGCAAACCCGTCTCACGAAGCAAAATTTCAGTTCGAAAACCGTCGAACCCGCTACACAGTGCGGACTGCTCAAGAGGATGAAGAAAGCATATCCCAACCGCCGCACCAACAACCTCCCCAGCAGAGACCCGTCACACAGTCACACGCACCAAATGCTGCAAAACACGGCATTTGGCACTAGTTACAACAAGCTTCTCGCACCACTCCACTGCAGCCAAACCTTGCCAAACATCAACCATATCCAAAACAGGTCACTTGTTCAAGTCCGGTCAGAGGTTCATCCTCACTTCAGAAACCGTTGAACCCGCTACACAGTGCGGACTGCTTGCGCCCGCAACCGCCGCACCAACAACCTGTCCCAGCAGACCCGTCACACCAAATGCTGCTGCAAACACACATGATTCGTACGTCAGGGTTGCCTTATGCACATCCTCTTTGCCATCACGACATGCCTTAAATATCCTTAAATCCACTTTCCAAGCCTTTTTGAGCTTCATCAACCTGCTTCCTGAACGGATGGACCACAGCCCGAACCAGTCCGAACCAGCCCGAACCAGCCTGAACCAGCCCGACCAGCTTGAACAGAGCCTGAACCAGATTGAACCCACTGGACCAGCTTCAACCAGTCTATCTGTCTGTCTAATCTGGTCTGATCTAATCTAATCTAATCCAATCTCTCTCTCTCTCTCTCTCCAAATCAAATTAAATCTCTCTCTCTCTCTCTGTCTCTCTCCAGATCTAATTAAATCTTATTTATAATATCTTATCTTATCTATCTAATGTACTTTAGTCTAATCCAGTATGATCTAAAGTAACCTAATGCAATATAACCTAACCTAGCCAAATCTACTGCAGTTTAATCTATCTACCGACCAAACTACCTATCTACCTATCCACCTATCTACCTATCTACCTGTCCTGTCTACCTACCTACCGTAGATGGACGAATTATTCAAACCCTTATACATAGAGCAACCCCCCTCACCCCAAATATCAATGTTATTTTCTTGTTTGGTTCGATCCTTCGAATGGACGAAATAAATCAAACCCCCAGAGCAGGAACAGAGCTACGAAACGATAACATTGAAATTCGGGGGAGGTAGGGGGTGGCCTATAACTCATGGATAGGGGTTTGAATAATTTGTCCATCTACTGTATGCATCTATCTTCTGCCTACCTATCTACCTATCTACCTATCTACCTATCTACCTATCTATCTATCCATCTATCCATCCATCCATCTATCCATTTATCCATCTATCCATTTATCCATCTATCCATCTATCTATCCATCTATCTGTCCATCTATCCATCTATCTATCCATCTATCCACCTATCCACCTATCCATCTATCCATCTGTCTATCTATCTATGTATCTATCTATGTATCTATCCATCTACATGTCTATCTGTTTATCCCTCTATCTGTCTATCTGTCCACCTACCTACCTATCTATCGATCTATCTGTGTATCTATCTATCTATATAATCTAAACTCATCTAATCTAATCTAACCTGATCTAAAATTAGTGTATGTTTGAAAATAAATAAATTATCTTATCTTGTTTATCGCGTCTGTCGTATCTATCTTATCTTATCTACCTTATCCACCTTATCTGCCTTATCTATCGTGTCTATCTATCCATCTACCTACCTATCTAGCCACCTCATCCATCTCATGTATCTATCTATCTCATCTACCTCATTTGGCTGGTCTACCTCATCTACCTCATCTACCTCATCTACTCTATCTATCTATCCTATCTAATCAAACCGAATGAAGTCAAAGCGAAACGAAACGAAACTAATCTAATCTATCTGCTACCTTTCTACCTTTCTAGTTTTCTTTCTATCTATCTGTCTATCTATCTATCTATCTTTCTATTTGTTCATCAATCTACCTTTTGGTCAAAAAATCAATCTGTCTATCTAATCTGATTTGGTCTAATTGTATAATCTATTCTAATCTGAGCTAATTAATGTAATGTAAATTCTTGTAACCTAATCTAATCTAATCTAATCTTGCGATCTTCCACATCCGACCATCATCATCGGCTTCCATCATTCTTGTTCACCACCCCGGCTCATGACAACCGGAAAGCTTAACATGTCAAAATGTGCAATTATATCAATTATTTGGTCTTTCATCCGTTACAGTATGTTGCACCACTAGAACTAACTAGGCACACGCCGCACAGACGGCCGTGGCGTTTCGGTCACTTTTTGCAACTCGCACTGACGTTTGTTCATCAGCACTTCTTGCAAGGAACATCTGCGTATCTTCGTTTCGTCCCATTTTTTCAATGTTTCAGGAGACGTTGCAGTGCAGTGAAGAACTGAGTTGGTGACATGGGTCCTTGGTGCTGTCGCCAAGCCCATTGAAACACGAGTTCCGAAACTATTGGAGAAAGAACAGTGTGACCGTCCTTCTTCTGTGTGGCATTGATATGAGCAGGGAGCCGTTCAAACTTTAAGGAACGCCATGCCCTGTCTATCATTTGAGTGCCTGCCAGACAAGGACGAGTGGAAGCTTTTTGAGCAGTCTTGCGGGAAAATTGTTTGCGTTGGTGACACACAGCTTCCACTCCGAACTTCTTTGCAACACATACCTCACCCCACCACAGACCCTGCCCCACATCCTGGCAGTTGCGGAACATCAACAACGTGTGCAACGTACAAGGAACGTTAACATGCCCCACCCCACCCCAGCCCCTGCCCCACATCCTGGCAGGTGCGGAACATCAACAACGTGTGCAACGTACAAGGAACGTTGACATGCCCCACCCCACCCCAGCCCCTGCCCCACATCCTGGCAGGTGCGGAACATCAACAACGTGTGCAACGTACAAGGAACGTTAACATGCCCCACCCCACCCCAGCCCCTGCCCCACATCCTGGCAGGTGCGGAACATCAACAACGTGTGCAACGTACAAGGAACGTTAACATGCCCCACCCCACCCCAGCCCCTGCCCCACATCCTGGCAGGTGCGGAACATCAACAACGTGTGCAACGTACAAGGAACGTTAACATGCCCCACCCCACCCCAGCCCCTGCCCCACATCCTGGCAGGTGCGAACATCAACAACGTGTGCAACGTACAAGGAACGTTAACATGCCCCACCCCACCCCAGCCCCTGCCCCACATCCTGGCAGGTGCGGAACATCAACAACGTGTGCAACGTACAAGGAACGTTAACATGCCCCACCCCACCCCAGCCCCTGCCCCACATCCTGGCAGGTGCGGAACATCAACAACGTGTGCAACGTACAAGGAACGTTAACATGCCCCACCCCACCCCAGCCCCTGCCCCACATCCTGGCAGGTGCGGAACATCAACAACGTGTGCAACGTACAAGGAACGTTGACATGCCCCACCCCACCCCAGCCCCTGCCCCACATCCTGGCAGGTGCGGAACATCAACAACGTGTGCAACGTACAAGGAACGTTAACATGCCCCACCCCACCCCAGCCCCTGCCCCACATCCTGGCAGGTGCGGAACATCAACAACGTGTGCAACGTACAAGGAACGTTAACATGCCCCACCCCACCCCAGCCCCTGCCCCACATCCTGGCAGGTGCGGAACATCAACAACGTGTGCAACGTACAAGGAACGTTAACATGCCCCACCCCACCCCAGCCCCTGCCCCACATCCTGGGTGCGGAGCAACGTTGCGGTTGCGGAACATCAACGACGTGTGCAACAAATGGTGAAAGGCACACGGCCGTCTATGCGGCGTGTGCCAACTACTGGGCAGAGTATCGCGTAATAGAGACCCTGCTGCGGCATGTCATGGCCTAGTGGCCTAGTGTGACCTCACCCCTGTAAAATAAAGCGCCCATCAGCCCGCCATCCCAATGAAAATGCTAACGTGCCGAATAGAAAACTAAAACCCGACTTAGGCTCAATCAGCTGATGGAGGCCAAGTTGTCCCGTGAAATCAGGTCTTACAGATGAATGATACATGTGGGTTTAGCGTGGAATTTGGCAGCATGACCAAAACAGGCCCTAGCCCGCCGCCTGCCTTCAGACCCGCCGGCTCCTGATGCAGCTGACAAGGAACTCTACACATTCGTGCATGGCAGTGTCTACGCACCTGTGATTATCCTATTCAAATTCAACTATGTAGCTCCCTAGCATCTTACAGCCTGGTCCTCGCAGAAACCCTTTAACTTTCAAGCATGGTCCCAAAACTAAAAACTGCCAACCAGTGAGGCATCAGCCGCATCATCGCGTTCCACAGATTGCAGCCTGCTTAGTTACTCTAACTGTATCCACTTAATGCAAATGAGCTCCATTCATCATTCATGTCCACTTGCATTCATCCTCTAAATGTCAGAAGGTCACACCCATCAAGCCACATGATGCTTGAAAGGGTTATAATGATGCATGCCCGGCGCAGACATTGCCTGGAACCCCGTATGGGGAGACGCGATCCAAGCTGGTGATGATGGAAGTTGGCCCATAGCCACCCACTACCACACCATACGCACCATATGGATTGCCTGGCAGCTGCACGGCTAACACAGCGAACATGCGTGACTGAAGTGATCTGAAGAGTCTTTGTAACGGGCTACTGCAGTAGCGCCATCTGCTATCCTAAGCAATGTGACGCACTGGTTATTGGCACACCACGAAGTGGCTCAAGGCTACAGCAACAGCCAAGAGTCATTAAATTAAACGTCTTGTTCAAAGTTTTTGCTCTTTTCATTACGGCATTAGATGGCAGATGGCATTAATCCCAAACACTGAGACCTCTGGCTAGTCGCATCATTATCTTGTGGGAGAAACACAGCGACTGCTGGATGAACCCTGTTCCTGAATAGATCCAAATAGTGGTACAGGATGGGACAGGCATGGACTTACATTTGCTTTGAGCGGGGTCGTGGACAAGGCGAAACAACGCAAAGGAACTTGGCAAAGCAACCTGCCGGCTGGAACTCCTTGGGGATCCTTGGGGCAATTTGAAGTCACCTACTAGCCCCCTGGCAAAGAAACAGGTATATATACAAAGCCGTCTGAGGAATCCATGGGGGTCTCCGGTCTCTGGTGGTTTCTATTCCCGCAATCGGGTAACCGGGTAAGTATGGGTGTCAATGAGCCCCTTGCCACCACCATTATCCACCATTCAAGCAGTTTTGCGACCCAGCTGCCGCTCAAGGTAAGCAAATTGGCGCCAGCAGTTGCTGAGATCACGCTCCAAGATGCAGCTTTTGGTTTTTGAGTTCCTTGCACCGAGGAGTGACTGAAGTTTCACAGCAACTCCACGGAGCCAATGAGATCAATGAGCAAGAGAGGATGAGCGACCATTTCAGGACTGGAAAGCCCTACATGGATACATATACATGGTAAGCCTGAACGTCTTGCGCAGAGCAGGGAAGAAAACTCAAATACAGCAAAGGGATGAACATCGAGAGAGATTTGCAAACTTTACAGGGAGCAGCTTGACAGAGATAAGTTCTTCAAACAATCGCCGCCCTGGCGCACAAACCGCAGCGGACAGGTGCGACCATTGCGGCCAAACTCTCTAGAGCTGTGCAACGAAGTTCACAGGCACCAAGTACCGCGCCTACCACGGCCACAGGAAACGCAGCTTACATGCACGAAGCGCCGTACCTGCCAAGCAAAACCACTGCGGCGACCTTGGAGCAGCACAAATTATTCTCGCGGAAGAAGCCGACGCGGCTGAGGCCTTCAAAAGCAACATCAAACCAGCACGCCGATGCTGCAAGCACTTGCCAACAGTTTTTTTCTTTTTTCTGGGAGGCTTGGGCACTTCAATCTAACACAATTTAACAGAGACAAGTTTAAAAAAATTAAAAGGGAAAAGTTATGACTCGGTTGTGACAGAGGAAAGTTCTATCCGAGATAAGTTTGGGTAAGAGAAAGATCATAGTTAAACCCAGAGCAGTTAGGACAGAAATAATTTGTCACAGAATAAGTTTGATGGGGAAAAGGTGACAGAGAAAAGCCGTGACAGTGATCAATCACAACATGGCTAGCAAGATGAATTTGAGGGAGATAGGTTCGAACAGAAATGAATGGGACGGTAACACTGCGATCGAGATAAGTTGTGAATAGTTGTGAGGGAGGGAGGGAGGGAGGGAGGGAGCGAGAGAGAGAGAGAGAGAGAAGCCACGACAAAGATTAGTTTTATGGAGATAAGTTGTAGCACCTAAGCTATGACAAGAAAAGTTTGATGGAGAGAGGGTGACAGAGGTAAGATAGGTCCAATGGAGGGCAGAATGCAGGAGGAGTAGCGGGAGCAGGAGCGGATGGGAAGCACGGCAAGAAGCAAGAACCCCACCCAAAGATGTGAGGAACTAAAAAAACATTGAGGGTGGGAAAAATGGGGAAGCAGGCAGAAACTTATATATATATAATAGAGTGGCACAGTTCCATCGCAGTGATAGTGCGAATGAAATGAGCCGGCGACTATGATCACTGTCACCATCACGACCAGGACCACAACGATGATTATTCTGATGATAAGGAGGAGGAGGAGGAGGAGGATTATGATGGTGGTGGTGGTGGTGATGATGATGATGATGAGGACGAGGAGGAGGAGGAGGAGGGTGGTGCTGGCGCTGGTGCTCGTGCTGGTGGCAGCGGCAGTGGCAGTGGCAGTAGCCAGTAGCAGTGGAGGTGATTATGATCATCATGATTTCGCCGACTTTGATGAATTCAATGATTCTGACTATGATGATTATGATGATTATATATAACGGTTACGTTGATGACAACGACGACAATGAGTGTCGTGATGGTGGTGACGATGATGACACTCCCCCCAAGAATGCTTCGCAAGCATCGTTCTTCGACCTCTACCTCATAAGTCACTTTGTCACCTTCAGTGAGCGTATCCTGAACACGGTAGCGGGGCAAGCGTCGAAAAAAACACTTCCCAAAATGGCTAAGGCAAAGGAATTTCAAGTACCATAGACGAAGCTGTGTGTTAATTATCCCATCTGTTTAATTACCCTCCAACTTGCTACCGGTTGACCCATCTTTAGAGACACCCGGTGCTTGAACTTCAACAATCAAAACCCAAACATGCTCAGCATTCAAAACAGTCTCACTTGAGCATTGTCCCAAAACAACCCCAAAACTGAGCCAGTTGTTCCCCAAAAACAAGCGAAAACCAAGCCAGTTTTCCCAAAAACTGAGCCAGTTTCCCAAGGAGCCTGTTTCTCACAAAATTGGTTGCAGATTTCCCAACTCCACGGCAGATTCTCCCCAAATCCAGCCAGACGTTCTCAAAGTCAAGCTTCTTCAAAGTGGAGGTCAATTTTCCCAAAATCCATTCAGATGTTCAGAAGTTCCCTTCAGGATATTTACTAAAACCAGTTCAGTTTTCTGCAATCAAAATTCACATGTTTGAACACACATTTGAGCCCTAAAGGCACAAGTGTCTGTATGCGAATGAATCGAATGATATTGAAAGTATGCAAACATTGCCTGTCAGGCGCAACTCCTTCGAACTCCTTCACATGTTAGTAAACTACGCTTGTACACAGGCCTGAGGCAAAATTGCAACCTTGCAGAAACCAAAAACGACTATAATATATATATATAATTTTATGTGTGTGTGTGTGCGTGTGGATTTCCAAATGCAGTTTCTGGTCGAAACAGAGGTCCACTAAGGGCAGACAAGTAAATTTTCGAAAGCTACATCCAAAGCCCCTTGCAAACATCTGTCATACAGAAGCACACTGACTGCAGGTTGCAACTGCCTTTTGCACACGCGGATTTAATGCAGGCACTTCTCGGCTTGTTTCAAGGTTCCTTTAGAGCCTCTTCCCATGTATTGAGATTGGTGAGGGCATCTGGCATGTCAACATTCAGCCGTCCTTTTAAGACGGAAAGCTTCTTGCCGCTCAATGTCGGACGTGCTGGACAGGTGAAAGAGGTAAACCTTTCTTGCGGAATTAAATAAATCAGTAGACAGTGAAACCCCTTCTTGACTTCTTTCGGTTTCTTCTCACAAGCACCAACAATTTTATCAACATCGCTTCACTGAGCAGACCCGTGCTGTTTACCGACAGTTTCTTGAAACATAAGCAGCTGGTATGTCTTGCCATCCTCCGTCTGAACCACCCCAAAGATGTCTTCTGTGTGCATTGAAGTGACAGCGACCAAGACAGAGCAGTGAAAACAAAAAAAATAAGTGGAGAGCCACCTGGCCTTCAAGTGTCAAAGGGGTTGTATTTAATCTTAGACAAAGTCCGTGCTTCAAGGATAATGGGGTATGGTTCTTCCCCACAAACAAAACCGTCATTCTTTTGACTTGAAGCATGCTTGGCTCGGGGTGGCGAGGGGGCGGCATGTAGATGTCATAGTGACCCAATCAAAAACACAGAAGCGGTCATGGAAGCTCCATTGTGTCACGCACGTGGCTTTGGAGATGAATGATGAAGATAATCACAAGGTGGTTGTGCAAGAAGGGCAACGCCAAACCTGGATGGTGTGCCTGAACGATTTCCCTCCCAAACCCTCCCAATGATGGCACCTCATCTCCGGAGAAGGTGCGCAACGGGGCAAACAAGTCTGAACCGCCATCATCTGGTCTCACAAAGCCAAAGCCCTTCTCTTTTAGCCTCTGCTCTCTGGATTTCCGTCGCCGAGACTGGGACAGCACAGCACTTGCAGCCAGTTTGTTTCTTTGGAAAGCCATGTTACAGAAGAGGTTCATCACTAGGGCCATGTCTGACATTAACAACAACTGCCATTTACCCGGCTGGGCAACCTACTACTGGACAAAAGATTAGATTGTTGAAAGATTTAATGCATGTACAGCATTGTAAGGCTCTTCGAGCTCCAGGGGTTTGAAAGTTGCACTGGGATCTATTATGTTCAAAAGATTTCAAAAGTGTATAAGGTTAATTCTTCCTTTGAGGGCATGGGTCGTAAACCAATAACAAGGGGCAGGCCACCGAAAATAACGAACCTCACACCTGCCTTGCTGCAGTGACAAACAAAAGAAATAATTACTTTACTTCAAGTGATCCCCACCATGGCATTTCAAGTCATACGTGGGTTTCGCATACGTTCTGGCATTCTATCTGACATTCTCTCTCACATTCTATCAGGCATTCTATCTGACATCTCTTTTGACATTGTATGTTACATCTTGCACTCGCAATTGATATCTTGCAGTGCCCACTGAGATCTGGCGCTCGCAGTTGAGGTCCGGCAGTGCCCACTGAGATTTGGAGCTCGCGGTTAAGGTCCGGCAGCCCACTGAGATCTGGAGTTCGCTGCTGAGAGGAGGAGGAAGGAGGAAGTAACTCTGATAAAATCTAGAGACCCTCACCTGGCCGGTGGGGAAGAATGCAACATACAAAAGTTTGTCACAAGTATGGAACCCAAACGATGATGGTTTCCATGGGTGCTAGACACAAAAACAGGATGCAAGACAACATTCAACATTCACCAAAAATCCCTGGAACATTTAAACATATACAATCATATACATTGGTTTGAACCTGTTTCTGTACACTGTACCCATTGTCTTTCGGAGCTACTTCCCTCAGCGTGCCATGCACTTACGGTAAGCCAAATCAAACCTGCGAAACAGAAATTGCCTGTCAGGAGGCGAATATGCCCTGAATGATTGGCAAGTCAATTGGACTTCGGAATCTTGAGGAATCCTTAACCCGAAGACCGTCCCAAACACGTGGAATATGAAGTCTTATTGGTGCAAATTTGCCACCGGTCCACCATTCAAAGGTAGCTTAGAACTTGTCAAGTTTACTTCAAAATCTTTGCTGCTATGCACGCATGACCAAGACTAATTAATCTTCTATACTTTTCTATTCTATCCCGCTGCAGCGCCGAGAAACAGCTTCTTCACAAAACCTGTGGGCATGGCAGCTACGTGGCGGTCCCATCTGTATACATCCTTGAGACCTGCACTGCTCTTGCAAGTTGTAGGTGTGTGAATCACTGCGAAGCTCTCAAGCAGCGGCTCTGTGAAAATGTTTCGCATGGGAGAACCAGCTGTGTTTGTCACCATCTTGGAAACCCAAGCAACAACACTGGAGGTTGCAGCTATGCTGCTACATGCATGTGTTTAAGAAACTTCCCCCTCAACCACGTCACCTGAGCCCAGCAAAGGTTGTTTTCCTGACAGCCGCTTCGAATCAGACCATTGGGTCGCGACGCCAGGGCAATGGACAAAATAATTTGCGTTGCAAATGCTGCCCAACAATCGCAAACTTCACACAGTTATGTACATGCGCATGAATGCATCTGTACATGCGTACGCAACGCCCCTCAAGCATCAATAATTCTTCTATCTGCCAAAGATATATCGTGCAAATATCAAGAATGCTGCAAATGATACCGTGCAAAATAGAGATGATTGTTCCAAACCACTAAATTAAAATACTTTCCAAATATGCTGCGAACAAGAGATTCAAGGTCCAGCATGTTCCCAGACCAATTAATGTGCCCCGTTTCAAATCGCACCGAAAAATGCGAACCGTTGATCGTATAGAGGAGGACATTGGCCCAAATGCATGTCTGTTTTTTTCGGAAAACATTTATTTTAGATTATTTTAGTTCAAAAACCTCTACAGAATAAAAATGCTGTAAAATGCAGTTGCCGCGGCCCCGTCATTTTCATTCATTTCCTCTATGTAAAACAATCTATGAGTGTACTGGACGTCAACATTTTATATCAAGTCGGGCATGCCCCAAGGGTATGCAGTACTTCAGTCTTCTGCATCACATATTTAGACGTTCTCGTTCAATGAGGAGATCGACACGTCCAAGATTTCGGCATCTCGTGCAGTCATGAAAAGGATTTTTCAATGACCATTACGCACTCACAATTTTATTCCAAAGTTCTATGTTTTGATTCTGGTTTCAAGCACATAACCCCCGAATCTGACTACATGACACTACATGACGAGGGTCTTTCTCTCAAAGATCCATTGATATCATTTGATATCCATTGATACAGTATCAGTTGCTGGCCACAAAAACAACAAAGCAGAACTTGAGTGCTGATTGATAATAACACGAAACAAAACATACCATTCTGTCTCTGTATTTTGTCCATCAGCGCCTTTAAATTGCCACCTCGGCTCAGCCGGGTTGGGGATTTTTCTGCACAAGTCTCCGCCACACACTGGTGCCATTTTTAGTCACTAGCAATTGGATGGCCTGTGACAACTGGCCTTGTCATTGAAGTTTGAATTATGTAGGCAGCCTGTAGGCATCATGATTTTCAAATGGAAAACATCAAGGCATACGGCATATGACACGAATAAAACGTAGGAATCGGAACACATGTCATGGTAATGAAATCTCATTACATACATAAGATGGAAAACACCAAATAATACAATCACAAATGCAATGATATATATATAAATATTCAACAATATTTTTAACAAAACATGTACTTCAATGATTAAGCATGGTTGAATTAAACTGTATATATAGATAAATTCCTTCATATCATGGCATATGCATTGCCAACACCTGACCGTACGTACTATATATATATGTATGCATATAAACGTAAATGCAAATGAACATGTATGTAAATGTATATGTGTATGTATATGTATATGTATATGCATATTTATATATATTTATATGTATGTGTGTGTATGTATGTATGAATGAATGTATGAATGAACAAATGAATGAATAAATGTTATGTGTATGTATGTATGTATGTATCTATCTGTCTATCTATCTATCTATCTATGTATCTATGTATCTATGTATCTATGTATCTATGTATCTATGTATGTATGTATATGTTTGTATGTGTATCTATGTATATGTATGTATGTGTATGTATGTATGTATATGTATGTATGTATGTATATGTTTGTATGTGTATGTATGTATATGTATGTTTGTGTATGTATGTGTATGTATGTATATGTATGTATATGTTTATGTATGTATATGTATCTATGTTTATGTATGTATGTTTATGTATGTATGTGATAGTATATGTATGTATATGATTGTATATGTATGCATATGTATGCATATGAATGTATATGTATGCATATGTATGCATATGAATGTATATGTATGTATATGTATGTATATCTATGGGTATCTATGTATATGTAAGTATGTATAAGTATGTATATGTATGAATATGTATGTATATGTATGTATATGTATGTATATGTATGTATATGTATGTATATGAATGTATATCTATGTATATGTATGTATATGTATGTATATGTATGCATATCTATGTATATGTATGCATATGTATGTATATGTATGCATATCTATGTATATGTATGTATATGTATGTATATGTATGCATATGTATGTCTATGTATATGTATGTATATGTATGTATATGTATGTATGTGTATGTATATATATGTATGTATGTTTATGTATGTATGTTTTAAGTATGTATGTGATAGTATATGTATGTATATGATTGTATATGTATGCATACGTATGCATATGAATGAATATGTATGTATATGTGTATATCTATGGGTATCTATGTACATGTAAGTATGTATAAGTATGTATATGTATGTATATGTATGTATATGTACGTATATGTATGTATATGTATATGCATGTATATA